AAACACTGCATAACAAGATTATCAAAATAATTTGAAAATAAACTTTGTCAATATAACTTCTTCTACATTTGATTTCAATTCCATAACCTTTAAAACTACTGGAACAAAATGTGCAAAAATCGAAAAGGCTATTCTAGACTTAATTTTAACTTTCAATCACCCCAATATATCCCCAAATTTATAAAAAACAACAACATTCAATTCAAATCTCCTAACTGGCCATTTTTGCCAAAAATAATCATTAAATTATTCTACGCTCACTGAGGTGAGGATGTACATCTTAAGCTGATTTTGTTACTTTCACATCATCTTTAACAAAATGAAAGTATACATTTGTGAAAACATGAATTTCTATGTTACAGGTGCAATAGATAGCCTACAAATGGTATTCAGAGCAGGATACTACATAAACAAAGAGAATATGAAATTTAAGGTATCTCATACTATTGATGTGAACATGGTATCATGACACAAAAGTTTAAGTAAGCTTAGTCTTTCACCTGAAGATAAGTTTCTAAAAAATACTTATAACAAATAAAATATAATTTAAAACTAACTGGCTGCTGTAGCAGGAGAAAAAACACGTCTTCATTCAAAAAAGACAAAAAGGATTGTGTCTATAACATTTTTTTCCATTTATTACAAAGTCCTGTTGTAGTGTTACACAATGTCATATCCCCTATATCAATGATCATTCTCTTTATATATACACAAGAGGAGATTAACTCCTAGCTTGTACTAACTTGTACAAACATTTGTACCACAACTGTAGTTTATATTTATGTTTCCAGTAGTTGTTAAAAACATAAAACCAATATAAGAGAGAGTTTTACTATTATTTAACGTCTTTGTTCATAGAACTCTCCGTTCATTATATTTATTAATAAATAGTTTTTTACCTGAGAAATCTTTATGTGATTTTTTTCTATTTTAGTCAAATAAGTTTTAGTCACACACTGTATTACTAAGTATAATAACACTAAGTCATTATTTATTTATTATAAATGCATACATGATGAGTAAGCTTAAGAAAACTTTCAGTTAAAAAAATATAAAATGTACTAAAAATCTAAATAAGCAGATAAAGGAAAAGTTACACCCCTGACTACTACACGGTACAGTAATTAAAGCTGCTAGATAACAACTTCACCATGTTATCACAGAGGTACCATCTGAAATGACCATCTTTACAAGTACTTTAGAAGGACCAGGCAAAATACGAGTGAGAAATAACTTTGTTTAGGATTTATATAAATTTCCTAGAATACCTCGCCACTAGATAAGCCTCATTTACTAAAAAAAAGCAAACTATCATTTTTCAGTATATTTTGTCATTTCACATAAGCAGCAAGCAAAATATCCCTCTATAAACTATCCAGCAAACAAGCCACGTGCATATTGTTACGACACCGGAAGTCACGTGACGCTAGTAACACGTCATGATATTCTCGAAGGTTCTTGAATGCTGGAATGTTTACTAGATGTGCGGTATTCTTGTATATAAGACCGCCAAGAAGTGACGGCGACAATGGAACTGAATTGTAGACAGAGATAGAGACAGACAATTGAGTCAAGCGCGTGAATCGTTCGTTGTGAATTATAGCGTTT